GGGGGACAAAACTGCAACGCATGAGCTCGAATTGTGAAATGGAATCTGGCCGTACTTACACCTAGAATTTTCCGACATATTCGTGGACATGATTACGGTCACATGCATCCAGGCAGGCTTGACTGTAAAAGTGGTTAGATACATCAAGGAAAGTCAATGTTAGCGTGTATTTACAATAGCGCTTTGATTGCAATTAACTGTAATAACGCCTAGAGCACAATTGAAAGAGTCCCGTTGTGAGTATGCTCTAAGTATAGTCTCAGACTCTCAAATGTCCCCCCCCCCCCCCTTTTTTTTTCCATTTCTCTCAATCTCACATTTCACTACCTACCTTCCACTACTCCTAAGCCTATATACGGGACCCCCGCAAGCATAGCTACCTCTCACAATCAAGGGGATGCATGTAGATTCCCGCTCTAAGCGCCAATGGGAAGGAGTAGGGTGCAGCTGCCGGCGGAGGGGCCAGTCAATGAAAGACTGAGCACTTTGTAACTAGCTGCATCTCACATCTACTTCCCCCACCCCCATTGAGCAAGAGCAATGTCTATGACCGACACTCACACACAACACACACATCCACACATATACACACTTGTGACGGCCAAAGACCCTACCAATACCAACCAGGGGGAGCTCGGGTGCTCGAGTCTACACCCTTTTTTCTCAATACATCTAAAGCAAACAAAGGGTCTCGCGACATGGTCGGTCGCGGGCCCAAGGGAAACCGTTTGGGACACAAACTGTAGGCGGGGGGCCGCGGGGTTGAGGCCGACGGAGGGGAACCGGCGCAGGGGCGAACGCGGGGGCGCAAAGGGGTGGGAACAAGCCAGCGGGAATTCGAAGGCGCGCAGGCCTAGGCGAAGCGGCGGAGGGGCGACGACGAAATTTTTTTGCGCGCTGGCGGAACCGGGTAAGCAGGCCAGCGGGGCAAAGCGGGGTGTGCACGCAGAGGCGAAGGGGCGGGAACCGGGTAAGCAGGCCGAAGCGCGCTGGCAGCGGCGCAGCGCGAATTCGAAAGCGCGCAGGCGAAGGGCGGCCGCGAGGTCGGAGAGTTATCGTCTCTCTCTCTCTCTCTCTCTCTCACACACACACACACACACACACACACACGAACGATTCATTCCTCTCTCTCTCTCTCTCTCTCTCTCTCTCTCTCTCTCACACACACACACACACACACACACACACACACACGAATGATTCATTCGATTTTGCTCAAAAAGTGGCGGTGTATATTTCCATGTTTCACCGGAAGATTCGTTCCGTTGTTGCCCGTCCTATCGATGGAAT